AGAGTTGTCACCTAGAGGGCTTGTTAAACAAGGCCCTACCCCACCTACAGAGTTTCTGATTTAGGTCTGGGCTGGGGTCTGAAAATTTGTATTTCCAACAAGCTGATGATGCTGCTGGTTCAGGGACCACACTGAGTACAACCCTATAAGCAGATACCCAAGGCTGCATTGTTGAGGGAAAAACAAGTGGAGTTGTTAAGCATTAAGTGAGATAAAACATACGAGAATACCTGGCACTTGGCAGGTGCTCAGGCAGTGTAATGGGAGCTAAGTCCCTTTTTATTATAATCATCTCCAGATGCAGCCCCCATCTGGGGTACGGTTCCTTTGGTGGTTAAATGAGGCTTCAGCGGTAGTGTAATCCAGCAGGATCAGCCTCCCCAGTTTTGTACTGACATTGTTTTATATTCTTGTACAGTAGCCTTAGCCTTGTTTGAAGTGCAGTGAGTTTGGTCTCCAGTGGGCTTGGAAGACAACAGGACCTAAAGCTTTGACCTATTTACTCCTTCACAGGTATAACCTGGCTGGTTGTTGACTTACTTTCCTTTTGGTGAGCATATTCCCAGAGTGATTTTTCTTTCCTTTTTTCTCTTTTAGGAATAAAAAGTTACCCTTTTGTTTGTACTGCCTCTTTCCACACGAGCGCCCCTTTGGCCAAAGAGGATTATTACCAGATATTAGGAGTGCCCCGAAATGCCAGCCAGAAAGAGATCAAGAAAGCCTATTACCAGGTCTGTATGGAAGCCAGATTTTAGAGACAAGATTTGTAGAAGGAATGCTATCACTCTCGTCTGATCCTGATCAATGCAATGTATATGCCTATATGTCGAGGATACAGATAGCTGACAGCATAGAATGATATGATAAAGACAACCTTTGCTGGACTGTGTTTTCTCAGTGCATGATGCTGTGCTGGTTAATGCTTCAGAAAAAAAGGGAGAGTCAGAACCAGAGATTTAAAAAAATCTTTTTCCGCTGGTATTTTTGTACTTGAATTTATTCTGCACCTTCTGAATCAGTAGGCATGCTGATTTTAAGTTTTAGGTATCATTCTTTGCATTCAGATAAAAGTTTATGGACTTAGAATTATTTCTTGTATTAACTCAGAAGGTGTGAAATTCCCATCGTCATATCCCAGAATGTATTAGGGCTGTTTGGTATAGTGGCATGTGAGTTACCCAGACCAGTGGTGCCCAGAGTTTTGCTCAGATAACAAGATTAAAATTAAAAATGGGCACCAGTGTAGGATTGCCAGCTTTTGTAGATGTTAAAAATAATTAACAGTTTATTAATGTTGTTGGATAAAAGAAAGAGCATCTTAACACCATAAAAATAGGAAAGCCATAATATCAGAATAAAGGAGAGATCTTTAAATAAAATGTAAATTACATGCAAAAAATAAATTACCTTTATGAAAAATTTACAAGATTCTTGAATTTTTCTTTTTTTCCTTTTTTTTTTATGGGTGAGCAAAAACTTTGTCCAAGCCCAATATTTGTGAACCAAATGCTGATCAAGACCAGACCCAAGAGCTTGTTGCTTATTGCCTATTTCCTCCTCTTTTTAAAAAAAGTGTACAAACTTACTGGTTTTTAGTCTATTCAGAGTTGGGCAATCATCACTGCAATCAATTTTAGAACATTTTCACCTCAAAAAGAAACCCCATACTGTTAGCACTTAGGCCCCATTCTCTTCTCTCTTTGCAGTTGCTAACCTGCTTACTGTCTCTATGATTTGCCTACTCTAGACAGTTCATAGAAATGAAGTCATACAACATATGGCCTTTTGTGACTATTTTCTTTTACTTTAGGGTTTCTTTTTTTTTTTCTTTAGCTGAGCCATCCTGCCACCAGTTGGCAGCTCAGCGGCAACTCAGCTCAGGCGGGGCATCGAACTGCTGTTGCTCAGAGCTCACACTCTTGAGCGAGCTCTTAACCAACTGAGCCACTTGGCCGGCCCCGTCTTTTACTTTAGCATATGTTTTCAAGGTTCACCCATGTTGTAACATGTGTCAGTGCTTCATTCCTTTTAATGGTCAAATAATATTCTATTGCTTGGATATGCTACATTTTATTGATCCATTTGTCAGCTGATGGATATTTGGATTGTTTCCACGTTTTTGTTATGAGTAGTGCTGCTGTGAACATTCATGTATAAATCTTGTGTAGACCAATGTTTTCATTTCTCTTGGGTATATACATACACCTAGGAGTAGAATTGCTGGGTCAAATGATAACTTTGTGTTTAAACTTGGAGGATCTGCCAGATTATGTCAAAGGGGCTGCACCATTTTACATTCCCACCAGCAGTGTGTGAGGCTTCCAGTTTCTCTACATCGTGGCCAACACTTACCATTATCTATCTTTTTTATTCTAACCACCCTAGTGGGTGTGAAGTGATGTCTCTGTGGTTTTGATTTGCTTTTCCCTGCTGACTATTGGGCATTTTCCCATGTGATTATTGGCCGTTTGCTGTACATTTGTTAAGATTCTTTGCCCATTTTTTGAATTATGTTTTATTACTGGGTTGTAATAGAATGAGCAAAGGCATGGGGATAAGAACCAAAGATCCTGGCTTGGGAAGAGCGAATAGCATGTCTCTTCTTTTGAGCTGGAGGATGAGGTACCTGATGCAACGGTGGGAGAAGATTGAAAAGATGGAAGCTGGGGCCAAATTAATGGGGCATTTGAGGCTCTTAGCAAGTACTAAAGATTTAATTTAAGAGAGAGTAGGGATCTATTCAAGTTTTTAGTTGTGGAAATTTTTAAAGTAGCTTTTATGGAGCAGTTACTGGGGTCAGACCTTGATAAAAGCTTTGCACGTGTTACATTTGAACCTCATGGCAAGAGGTTTGCTGAGCTTATGACACACAACCAAGGCCATCCAGTCAATATGTGGCATACATGAGACTAAAACACAGGTTTTTCTGACTGTAAAAGTCCCTCTTTGCCTTGTGCTGATCTCATGAGTGTTTCAGCATGTCTTCTCTTGACGTTTGAGACCAGCCAATAGACATATCTTGCCTTGGCGTTGCAGCCAGCCTTGACTTTTAGCCCACTGTGATCTTCTAGCCGTGCTTGAGACACCCGCTCCACCCCTTTCAGGGCTTAGCATATAGCCTCTGACATGCCTCTGTATGCTGGCGTGGGGACCAGGATCTTCAGAAACAGATTGAGCAGCCAGCTTCTGGCAGTGACGGAGCCAGGCGGCCTCCCAAGTCACGATTAGCTTTAGGATTCTGTGCACCTCCTCGCCCTCACATACAGGATCTGTGGTAGTTCAGAGAGGGAAAGCTCAGTAGCCACAGCAGATACAGGGAACACCTGCAAAGCACACAGCCCTGCCTGCTCAGTGCAGCCTCAAGGCGACCTTCCAGTTAGAGCTGCTCAGCATGTCTGTGTGCTCTGGACAGCCGAGTGAGACTTTGTTTTGTTTTTAATATTTAAATGTATGTTTTGAATAGGTAATATATTCCTCTTGTTCGGAATTCAGAAAGTAAAAAGGAGTACTGTATATTAATGAAAGCCTTTGCCTTCTTATTCATTCACTTCTCTCCTGTAGCAATCAATTTTACCAGTTTGTTCTATGTCCTTCCAAAAATAATGTATACAGCAGATACACCTACTTATCTATTCAGTTGTTTTCCTCTCTTTTTACATAGATAATAGTGTACCAGATAACACTATTTTGCATTTTTCACAAAGGTGCCCAAGTTCTAAAGAATTAATTGTTATTTTTGGTAGAGATTTGTTGCGGTTGAAAAATGTATACATACCTCAGATTTGAAGAGATGGTTTATTTTAATGTCTTAAATCTTATTTTAAGAATTGCTGTTGTTTGTAAAGTTTTAGAGGAGGCAAGATTGCTCTAAAGGAGGCGAGATTGTGACTGATATTTGAGGTTCAGTTTTAGTAATCATCTTGTGTCATAATAATTGACGATTTCCTCCCATAGCTTGCCAAGAAATATCACCCAGACACGAATAAGGATGATCCCAAAGCCAAGGAGAAGTTCTCCCAGCTGGCAGAAGCCTATGAGGTAACACGACCCACCAGTGTGTACGGTCACTGTCATTCACCTGCATGTGTTCATCAGAGTGTGCTGCATAGGGCGACCTGACGTGTTATAAGGTCCAGCATGAAGGCTCTGTCCCACACCAGATCATCTCATTGAAGAAAAAAGTCTCCAAGTCCCCAAGTCTCACACTAGATCTAACTTGGAATCTCAATGCAAAACAGGACCCTATAATCCATAGTAACAGGGCTCCCAGGTCATTTGGACTTGTAGATGGGCCTGGTTACTCTTTGTTGGATTAATTCCGCACCCTTTGAACACCCGGCTCCTACTTAGGGCATCACTGGTGGGGATGGTGGGTCTTGTAAAAGTAGATGACCATCACTGCCCTGGAGGAATTTACAATGTAATCAAAGGAACGGAACATACATGCAACAACTGCTAAACAATCCCAGAGTTATTTAAAAGTGGACCTTCTTCCCACACTGACCATGTCGAAGGGGTTCAGGATATATAGGATATCCTATATCTGCTCTGTGTGTGTGCACATTCCTCCCCAAACATTTGAGAGTAAGTGGTAGACATTGTATCTTTGTATTCTTAAGTCGTTCTGTGTGTAGTTTTTAAGGACAAGAACATTACTTCCCATAACTACAGGACAATTGTCAAATCAGAACGTTTAATGTTGGTACAATACTGTTACCTGTACTTGCCTTCTGTGTCCCTGGGCCTCGGGAGCTGAGGGAGCGCCTGACTGCTGTCGCTCCCGGTAGGTGCTGAGTGATGAAGTGAAGAGGAAGCAGTATGACACCTACGGCTCTGCCGGCTTCGATCCCGGGGCCGGAGGCCCCAGGCAGAGCTACTGGAAGGGAGGCCCCACTGTTGACCCAGAGGAGCTCTTCAGGAAGATCTTTGGGGAGTTCTCATCATCTTCTTTTGGAGATTTCCAGAGTGTATTCAGCCAGCCTCAGGAGGTAAGCTCCTCTTTTTGAAAAACATTCAAATTTTAGCTGCTAAGTGGGATGCAAACAGATTTTATCAATTTCTGTTTCTCAAAGAAAAAGGCAAAGCAGCCATTTTGGTAGGAAATAATTCCAGTATTTGAAAAATCATATAGGTAATCATGTGTAGATCCGTTTTGACTTTAATCTTAAAATTGCTTAGCCAGGCAGCACTAGGCTCTCAGAGTTCATTATCAGGGTGGATTTTACCTAGAGCTCCATCCAGTAGGGAGACACTGAATCCTACCTCTTTCATATTTGTGTCCTAAAAAGACATTATCAGAGTTGAATAGAGAGGCGGAGCGTTTTATGATGTAAGATTGTGGACCATTTAAGCTGTTTGTAAGGACTGTGTATAAATATTATCTAGGAACAGTTTGTTGAAAAGTACGTTTTCACTTAAATTAAAACAAATATTACCTCTGAGAAACCCTGAGGAGTAGGGCAGAATCAGTAAAGTAAGTCCCACCCGTTCTTCCTTGGCAGAGTACAGGTAAGCAAAGCAGTTAAAAAGTAAAGTAACTGGGGGGAAGGGATGAATAGGCAGAGCACAGAGGATTTTTAGGGTGGTGAAAATACTCTGTATGATTTTATAATGATTGCATACATGTTTTTATGGATTTAGCCAGACCCAGAGAATGTACACCATCAGGAGTGAACCCTAGTGTTAACTGTGGGCTTTGGATGACTATGATGTGTCAGTGTAGGTTCATTCTTTTATGTATGTATGTATGTATGTATGTATGTATGTCTAGATTTTTTTTATTGGGGCGGGGGAACAGTTTTGGGGAAGGGGAACAGCCAAGTTGTTGTCCTTCAATCTTAGTTGTGGACAGCGCAGCTAGCTCAGCTCCAAGTCCAGTCGCCATCTGGCTGCCTGTTGGTAGCTTGCAGCCGCTTAGCTCAAGGTGCCATGTGCAATCTTAGTTGCGAGGGGGCGCAGCCCACCATCCCATGCGGGAGTCGAAAAGGCAACCTTGTTGTTAGGAGCATGTACTTTCACCAGCTGAGCCATCCTGCCAGCTCAGGCGCAGCTCACTGGCCCATGTGGAAATCCAGCTGGCAACCCTGTTGCTCAGAGCTCATGCGCTCTTAACCAACTGAGCCACTCAGCCAGCCCAGTGTACGTTCATTCTTGATTTAAAAATGTACCACTCTTGTGAATGATGATGATGGGAGAGGCTGTACCGGGGAGTGGGGGGGAAACAGGTGGTATGTGGGAAATTTCTGTATCTCTCAATTTTGTTAGAAACCAAAACTGCTCTAAAAACTAGTCTTTAAAAGTAAAGTAAGTAATTGCCAACCTCTGGCTAGCACCCTCCCTTACTTTAAGAAAGGTGACACGCCATCCCTTGATTTCTTCAGTACATCATGGACTTGACATTCAACCAAGCTGCCAAGGGTGTCAACAAGGAGTTCACCGTCAACATCACGGATACCTGTGAGCGCTGTGACGGCAAGGGGAACGAGCCCGGCACCAAGGTGCAGCACTGCCACTACTGCGGCGGCTCCGGCATGGTAAGACGAGCCGGGCCCCCGCCTGCCAGGGGACCCCAACCTCTAGCCCACCCACACTTCTCCCCACCATTCTTCTTTTCTGTGCTCTTGTGGGTACTTTTTTCAGCAGTATCTAGGGCTTTGAGAGTTCATAACTTGGTGGGACTTTTTTTATCTAGAACCTTCTGCAGTTTTCCAGGAGTGCTCTGTCTTGGTCAACAATACAGACAGAGCAAGGAAACTCTGCCGTCTTCTATAAAAATACACTTTGGGATAGTTTGGTAATTTGAAACCAACTAGGGGTAGTCTGGGGACACTTATGTTTTGCTTGAAGTGTAATCATTTATTCTTTTTCTTTTTTTTTTTAAAGATTTTATTGGGGAATTGGGGGAGGGGAACAAACAAGTTGCTGTTGTTTTTGTTCTTCAGTCTAGTTGTGGAGGACGTTGCTTCACTGGCCCATGTTGGTATTATCATTGCGCTCTTCCCGGGTGTGGCAGATCGGTCGCTGGCCTCTGGACGGCCACTCACGGCGGCTCTTGGCAGCTCACACCAGCTGCCAGCCACTCATGCTGGCTGCCAGCCACACACGGTAGGTTATGGCAGCCCACTGCAGCAGGGGCTGCAGCCTACGCCGTCGCCTCATGGCAGCCCAGCTCCAGGTCGAGCTGTTGTTCACCATCTTAGCTGTAGAGGGCAGTGTCACTGGCCCCCATGTGGGATCCGAACTGGGGCCCTGCTGCTCAGAGCTGGGGTCCCAAGCCAGCTCTTAACGCGCCACTCAGCCGGCCCCTATTTTTCTTTTTGGTAACTTTATGATATAATTCAAATTTATAGAACAGTATAAAAAACTGCCCTTATTTCTTTTTCTGTTTCACCAATTGTTAAGGTTTGTGCTGTTTGCTGTCATTTTTGGTGTGCTCATTCCCTTCTCCCCCTCCCTGTGTGTATTCTCTGTATGCACACACACACAAACATGCATACGCATGCACACAGACACACACGTATGCACATTCCTCTAACCATTTGAGAGTAAGTTGCAGACATTCTCTTTCTTTATTCCTACATACTTCAATGTGTGTTTTCTAAGAACAAAAACATTCTTTTATGTAACCACAGTACAGTGGTGAAAATCAGGAAATTGAATGTTGATACAATATAATCTGTACTTATTCAAAGTTATTCAGTTGTCCTTACAATGTCCTTTTTTCCCTTGGTACAGGATCCAATCTGGGATCTTACATAGTATTTGTTACATCGTTTGTCTCCTTTAATGTGGAACAGTTTCTCAGCCTTTCTTTTTCTTTTATGACCTTGACCTTTTTTAGGATTCTAAGCCAGCTCTTTATTAGAATTTCCTTTATTTGGGGTTCATACCTCAGAGATATAGTGCCCTTTTCAGTGGATAATTTTAAGAGTCATGAGGTGTCATTTTGTCCTGTTAGTGAGGATGTTACATTTGATAATGATCAGTTAGTTATGGTAGTGTCCACCAAGCTGCTGCTTATAGTTAGTTATCTTTCCCTTTTAAGTTAATAACGACGTTGCAGTGAACTTGTACTCCCCTAGAGGGCACTCTTGGAGAGGATGAGGATTTCTGGGGCTACTATTCTGTGAGTTGAGTTGCTGCCAACTTGTCACAGATATTTAGATATTTTTTATCAATTGTTCCCAGTTTCCTCTCTCTTCTAAGGTCCTTTATCCAAGGTCCTGAATTTTTGTGAATTTTTAAAAAACATTTCTGAAGAGAACATTGAAGTAAGATAGTAAAGCTAAAGTCTATTTCCCTCAAAACGTAATGTTTGAGACTGAGAAAAAAATATTTGCAGCACATTTGCTAAAGGATTAGTATCCCTACTATGTGAAGGGCTCCTTCAGAATAGTGAGAAAAAGACAACAGCTCTTTAGAAAAACTGGTCAAGATGAAAAGAAGAGGGAAATGAGGATATGCCTCTGGCTCCCCCTCCGGTTTGGCGTACAGAGACGAGCACAGTCCATGCTGACCAGCCTATGTGCCATGAGTGTTCACGTACCCTGGTGGTGGAAGTGGAGACCACCCTGGCTTTGGGGAATGGAAGCTGCAGTAGCTATTAAAACTTTACGTGTGCGAGACCAGAGCGTGACGGGCACATGGCGGCGCCGGACCTACGGGCCGAGCAGGACTCGCTGCTCCTGCAGCTGCTCCGGGACCTGGAGGAACTGGAGGCGAAGCGGGTGGCGCTGAACGCCCGGGTGGAGGAGGGCTGGCTCTCGCTCTCCAAAGCTCGCTACGCTATGGGTACCAAGTCGGTAGGGCCCCTACGGTATGCCTCTCGCATGGAGCCCCAGGTCTGCGTCTGTACCAGCGAGATGCAAAACGGTCTCCAGAAATTTCAGGTGGTTAGAGCCCGTGCCCAGACTCCAGAGGAGGTGGGGCCTTGCGAGGCAGTTCTGCGCAGTCGCAAGGGCCTCATCAGGACCCTCTGAACTGGTTTGGAATCCTGGTTCCCCGCAGTCGGCGGCAGGCCCTAGCCAGCTTCAGGAAGGGCCTGCAACTGGCTGCAGACATGGCCAGCCTTCAGATCCGCATCAGCTAAGGTCAAAGCCAGCTCCGGGGGCTCCAGGACACACTCAAACAGCTCGAGTCCGGAGTGGCCTGATCTGTGGCCAGAAGCACAGCTATTCTTTTATGTGGCTGCCTTGTCTAGGCTTTCTTCCTGCCCCTGCCTTCCCGCCCACCCCCCCACTCCCTACCCCCAGTTTCCCTCTGTAAAACATCTCTGCTACATGTTTCCAACTTTGTTAGGTGTGAAAGCTTAAAGAGGCAAACAGGGATGTTGAAAGTCACTACTGTGAAACCACTTCTAGTCCTGTGTTCTAGGACACACATGTAGGGCAGGTGCAAAGCTGTTAGGTTAGTTTACACTAGTGAACAACTAGAACAACCTCAGCATAAATTAGTATGGGTGACATACTGCACAGCTATGGCAGGAAGGACAAGAAGTAGGTGCTTCAGTTTCACTAGATCCTCAGAACTGATTTTGATGGAGGAAAAAAAATGCATGACTAACAGATCAGAAGAGAATGATTCTACATCAATAAAAAAACACAAACACCTATGTTGATGGGCAGCTCTTGGTAGGTTTTAAGCCAGAAAATAAAAAAAGATATGACCTAGATTTTCAAGTGAACTCTAGGAAGAGACCTTTCAGATTTTTAAAAACCTTTCAGATTTTTAAAAATTTTTCCAGGAGTGAGGCTGAACCTGTTGTAATTTGTTGAAGGGTCAATAATATTTCCTGTTCTGAGAACTCTGTGTCCTTGCTTCATTTTTCTACTGGGTTATTTATATTTTACCAGTTCCTAGGTGCTAATTTTTATACTTGGGGAAATTTGCTCCTTTGTTCATAATATGAGTGATGTAAATATTTTTTCCAGTTTGTCTTTTAACTTTGCTTATGGTGGTGTTTTAAAAACTTTTTAGATAAAACACATTACAGAACTGAATAGCATAATTAATAAAAGTGAAAGCTATAGTAACAAAAACAAACAAACAAACAAAAAACACACAAAAAAAGCTTTACATGTGTGGGGCCGGCCGAGTGGCTCAGCTGGTTAAGAGCTTGCTTGGGAGCACCAGCTCTGAGCAGCAGGGCTGTGGTTCAGATCCCACATTGAGGGCCAGTGACGTTCGCCCTCTACAGCTAAGATGATGAACAACAGCTAGACCTGGAGCTGGGCTGCTGTGAGTTGCTGGCGACGGCGTAGGCTGCAGCAGGGCTGCAGTGGGCTGCCGTGAGCTTCATGAGTGGCTGGCAGCCAGCGTGAGCAGCTGGTAGCCAGTATGAGCTCGTATGAGCTAGTGGGAGCCGCTGTGAGCCAACCAATGACCGGCGACCGATTGTCTCACCCGGGAAGAGCACAATGATCATACCAACATGGGCCAGTGAAGCGACGTCCTCCACAACTAGACTGAAGAACAAAACAGCAATTTGTCTACCTGTCTGTTCCCCTTCCCTGATTCGCCAACACTGTTCCCCCTTCCCCCAATTCCCCAATAAAATCTTTTTTAAAAAAAACACAAAACAACAACAACAACAAAAAACTTTACGTGTGTGTCTCTCTGTGGGATTGTGTCCTAAAGATCACATTTCTAAAACTGCACACGTAGAGGATGTCCCTTGCAGCCTGTGCGTAACATAATAATAGTAAAGCACTGGATAATCTCAGTGACCAACAGGAGTGAGTTGTCAGAAAACCTGTGGTGCATCCACATCATGGAAAACTACACTGATGGGAAATGTTTTCCGGGGTCATTAAATTGTAAAAACAAAACAAAAGCTGCAGAACCATGTGCATAGTATGTTACCTTGGTGTATTCACAACTTGTAATGCATGTAGATAGCTTGAAATATGTGTGTATAAAGTAGGATACACAAGAATATCACAATAGCTGTGCCTCCAAGGAAGGTTCCTGGAATAATTAGGGGTTAGAGATGGAGGAAGACACTTTAACTTTTCTCTGTACCTCCATTTTGTACTGTAGAATTTTGTACCATGCACACATATTAGCTTTTTCAAATAAATATAGCCTGCATATTTTTAATTTTAATTATTTGTTCCAGCAATTTCACCTTTGGGAATCTGTCTTACAAAAAATAAAGGTATCAGAACAGGAGAATATATGTGTAGAGATTTTTTTACTGCAGCACTGAAACATACTTATTAAAATGGAAAATGAAATCTGTATGTATTGGCCTGGAAGAATGTTCATGGTGTATCAGAAAGATAAGAAGGAAAGCAAGTTGCAGGGCAATATGTATAATATACTCTCTTTATAACATTTACACTTAAAAAAAATAAGACTTTTTTTTTATGGAGAGAGAGTGAGTTGTGGAAAGAATACCTCAAACTATGAACTTAGGGGCCGGCCGAGTGGCGCATTGGTTAAGAGCTGGCTTGGGACGCCAGAGGACCCCGGTTCGGATCCCACATAAGAGGGCCAGTGACACTGCCCTCTACAGCTAAGATGCTGAACAACAGCTCGACCTAGACCTGGGCTGCTGTGAGTGGGCTGCAGCCCCTGCTGCAGTGGGTTGCCATGGGCTACCATGTGTAGCCAGCAGCCGGCGACTCATCTGCCTCACTCGGGAAGAGCGCAATGATGGTGCCAACTTGGGCCAGTGAAGCAACGTCCTCCACAACTAGACTGAAGAACAAAACGACAGCAACTGTTCCCATCCCCCAATTCCCCAATAAAAATCTTAAAAAAAAAAAAACTATGAACTTAACAGAATCGGTTACCTTGGGAGTCAAGGTGGGGAGATTCATAACTTTTTTCTTTATATATCTCTGCCCTTTGATTTGCCACAACAGTGTATTTGATCATTTTTTAAAAATTCAAAGACGTTAGGTTAAATAAAATGTCAAATGAGGGAGGAGCTAATGGAGTGGCCACAAATCCTAAGGCTCTGCATCAGTGCCTGTGGAGGAGCTGCTGGTCTTACTGCTCCTGGGGGGAGAGAGGGGAGGGGAGGGGTGTGCAGTGGGAAGAGACCCTGGGGGATGAACTGGTAAGCTCAGCCCGCTCTTCCTTCTCATATGGCCCTAAGGGGACAGAGAGGCCTGTGCCCTTCCTCCCTTGGAGTGGGCAGTAACAAGCTCAGTGACCAGACTGGCAGCTTCAGACTGGGGAGTTGCATCCAATTGTCACTTGCTTCTTTATTTTCTTTTCCCAGCGATCACTTTTGTAATTAGAGGGGAAGTATTCTTTTTAAAATGTACTTGCTTAGCTCCCAGGGGGTTTCAGGAACTTGCATAGAGAGGCAGTATCTTACTTCTCAGTCTCATGTAATCAACTTGGTGATTTGGAATTCAGAAGTCAGTGGGTTCTATAAGGTCAGATTAACAGTTTGAGCCCATGCACCTGTGTTCTTGGGCAGCAAGTTTTCATGCAGATGCACACCCAACACATCTTTAATGAAATATTACTCTTGTGCACGTTGTAATCCCAGAGCATTGGCTGTCAGAATTTACCAGTGTATTTAAGGGTCCCATTTTTCTCCTTTTGATCAGGAAACCATTAACACAGGCCCTTTTGTGATGCGCTCCACGTGTCGGAGGTGTGGTGGCCGAGGCACCATCATCACGTCTCCCTGTGTGGTGTGCAGAGGGGCAGGACAAGCCAAGCAGAAGAAGAAAGTGGTGATTCCTGTGCCTGCCGGTGGGTTCTGGGCTCCTCCATGCACAGGGGGCTGAGAGGGGAGGCATTGTTTCCTTGTGATTTGGCTGTTGTAAAAGCTGTGGTTAAGGCCCCGGAGCCCCCAGCTAGAGGAAGAAGTGCAATCACCTTGCATTTTCCTCTTAGCACCACTTATCCTTAAAATCTGCACTTACATGTCACGATGGAGAGAAGGGACCTGACATGCCCGCTCTTCCCGTGCGTGGTGAAGGAGCGCCTCCATCACCTTCATTTTCAGTCCATTGAGGCCAGCATTGTCCCCACCGCCAGCCCAGTCTGCACCACCACCCCTCCTTCTGGACCCCGGGGCAACCTGTGACAACTCTCCCCAACCCGCTCTCTCCCTGTTGATCACGCCACTCTCCCTGTTGAAGACCCTTCTGTGACTTTTAAGGGCCGACAAATGGCCTCCTGTCTCAGCCCCTGCTGGCCTCTCCAGCCTCTCGTCTTAAAACCTTGCCCTTGTTGCCTGCCCTGCAGCCTTCCTGACTTTCATGTAACTCCAAGAACAGTCTTTTAGTGCGCCATTTCCTGTGTCTGAACCTCACCTTCGACCTTTCCAGCAGTTAACTGTTCTCCTTGAGCTCCCAACTCAAGTGCTGTCTCTTCCTAGGGAAGCCTTCTGGAATTGTCCCTCTTCCTAAGATATACCTTAGTCTGGAGTTGTGACCTCGTCCCTGTAAGAACATGGCTCCATTAGTAATGACACATTATTAATGTTGTTATTTGATTAATACCCATCTCCCCGCCTGGACTGTACACTCCCGGGGGGACTATGTGGCTTGGGCAGGAGGCAGGTGTTCAGTAAACTTGAATTAATGAAAAGGTGCCCTTGTTAGGTTATGAGTTATTGTATGGTGCACCTTTGAAAGTCGTACTTGTTGCCATGTTGGATAACTGTGGTGGTCCTTGTTAATAAAAAACAGGAATGAGCAAGGAATTCGGTGGGTTGTAAAAGGATCTAGGATAGACAATGCCTTGGGAGGTCCCCAAATAATCGTTTTCTTTTGACCTTTTGTTCTCACTCATAGGAGTCGAGGATGGCCAGACTGTGAGGATGCCTGTAGGAAAAAAGGAAATTTTTATCACGTTCAGGGTAGGTGCTCTGCTTGCACAGCCTCAGTGGGGGCCTTGCTCCCCTGGAAAGGGTAAGCTGAGGCTTCTCATGCACGGAGACAGGTGGGAGCTTCACGGGCACTTCTTGCCATCCGCATTTCCAAGGGGAGCAATTAAACATGTTGCCATCAAGCTTTTGTGGTAGGTGAGAAGAGAACAAAGCTGCCTCAAGATATTTACAAGTTGGAAGGCCAGCCGAGTGGCTCAGTTGGTTAAGAGCGCGCTCAAGAGTTTGAGCTCTGAGCAACAGCAGTTCGAGTCCCAGCCCAAGCTGAGCAGCTGCTGAGCTGCCAACAGGTAGCAGGATGGCTCAGCTAAAAAAAAGAAAAAAAGAAGATATTTACAAGTTGGAAACATAGGATACATAAGAATACAGAAAACATCTCCCTGTGTCTTTATTTGCCTATCAAATTGTTGGTAGGGACATCAAGTGCCAAATGTACAGTTTTACCTAGTATAGACAAGGGCAAACCTGGTTTTCTGAGACAAGGGAAACCTTAAAGAAGATAACTCCTTTATATATGCAGTTTCATTATATATACACCTGCGAAAAGCCCACGCAGGTGCAGCAGGCAGAAGGCACAAGGTGTGTGTGACAGCCTTGTCCATAGTAGCAAGACACTGGCAACAGTCTGCTGTCCTTGGAAAGGAGAATGGCCAGGTGAACTTGGCTGTGGTCGCAGAGGGACCGCAGAGCAGTCAGAAGGAAGAAACTGGACCACACGTGTAATGAGACTTCTCAGTTACAAAGACGAGGGAAAGAAAGGTTGCAGGAGGATGCAGGGAAGATCATCTATATAAAGTTTTAAACCACGCAACATGGTGTTTATATTATTTAGGGATGTTCAAATATATAGTAAAAGTAAAAAGATGCTTGTAGGAATGATAAATACTAAATTCAGCATAGTGGTTAACTCTGTAGAGGTGAGGAGGAGGCAAGGAGAGTTTACCCGCATTTGTAACATTTTATTTGTAGCGTTATATTATCTACTTTGCTGTTGATATGCATGTGAAATGTTTCATAATTTCAACAATCTGAAGGGTGAACCTTCTAGACTGAGAAAGCAAAGACAAAGGCAGCAAGCTGAAACCAATCGATGAGAAAAGTTTGGTAGAGAATTCAGATTCTATTTCCATCTAACCATAGAAGGGAAAATTGAGAGAGAAGACATCACTGGAAAGGAGGGGATGTCACTGCTCATAAAATCAAAATAATTCTAGTGCTGTCAGTCTGTCTTGAAGGTAGTTTGTGCTAAATGAACATTTGGAAAACTGTTTTTGCCTTTGTATACGCATTGTCTGTGTTCCTCTTTACTTTCTAGTAAAGTAAGATTTTTTTTTTTTAATGTTCAAAAAGCCAATTTTACTTTATTTCCCTTAACAATTGAATGGCTTGACCTGAGCCTCAGGAAATCTAGACGCTTCTGCATTGTAGTATAGAAATGAACTTGACATGTAACTCCTGGGGCTGGCAGAGTGCTCTGCTTTGGTGAAAGTACATTCTTTCCCTCAGTGGTGCACTCCAAGCATAGAAGCAGCCTGACAAGTGTCAGGCCCTGCGCTTGGGCTGCTGAGACTCAGGGCTGATGTCCAGTCTCCAGCAGGACCTCTCTGCATAATGCCCGTCTCTCATGCTTGGCCCTAGGTGGAGAAAAGCCCTGTGTTCCGGAGGGACGGCGCAGACATCCACTCTGACCTCTTTATTTCTATAGCTCAGGCAATTCTTGGGGGGACAGCCAGAGCTCAGGGCCTGTACGAGACAATCAATGTGACGGTAAGAGGGCCAGAATGTTTTTGCCACCCTTTTACTTCATTGCTTTTTTTTGCCCCTAAAATGGAAAATAGCTGACAAGTAGCTAGAACCTGTGAACAACCAGCATGTCGGGGGCTCGGGGGAGATGAGGTTTGGGGGAGGCCATTCCTTGGGTGTGAGTCACAAACCGTGGGCCTTGAGTGTGTCATCACCAGGAATGGCAATCCTGGGTCACATCCTCTACTGGGCCAGGGAGCAGCCCCAGCAACACACCCCTGTGTTGGCTTTGCCTCTTCCCAAGTCTGGCCCTCCATGCTCCCTCCCTCAGTTCACGTCCCCAAACCACCTGCCCCCACATCTTCATCACAGGGTCAGCTCAGGGTGGACCCCAGCTTAGCCACTTTCCATGTGGTTGTTGGCAGGTTCTGCCTAGAAACCCGAATGGGAGTCCTTTTCAAGGAGTAAGAGTATCTTCATGTAGTGAAATGTTTTCATTTGAGCAATGGAAAACCAAGGAAAACCATGGGTTTCCTTTTCTTATAGATCCCTCCTGGGATCCAGACAGACCAGAGGATTCGGATGAGTGGGAAAGGCATCCCCCGGATTAACAGTTACGGCTACGGAGATCACTACATTCATGTCAAGATAAGAGTTCCAAAGTAAGTGCCCACTGAGCCACAGAGAGGCCCCACACCTCTGCTCTTTCACCACTGAGCAGGGGCCAGTTGAGGGATTTTTACCTGCCAGTCCCTGTGCTGAGCATGGCAGCGTGGTGGCTCAGCACTGCCGGACTGCCTGTCCCCATGGTGGCTCTGCCGCTGGAAGCGCTGAGGCTTAAGCAGGGTACTTCTTCCTTTGAGTCAAGTGTGTCCTGCCCAAGTTCTCCATCTGCACAGTGGACATAATGAAAAAGGTTACCTTGACTTTGAGGATTGAATGACTAATACAGAGGGAACGCTTAGTGATTACTGCTGCTGTTGATTTTATTATTACTGCTCTCAGGGTGCTCACAGTCTGATGGGAGAGTCGGATCTATAACCAGATCATGGTACAGGCTGTGTGTCCTCTGGGAGGAAGGTCCCGGTAGAGGGCTGTGGACAACCAGACCAGGAGTACTGGGGCTGCTTGGGAGAACTGGGTTTCCAGCACTCCTTTTAATTATATAATTTCCTACACACACGCACACACGCACATGCGCGCACATACATGCACATAAACTTACAATGGCTTCCTTTCTCCCCCAGTAAATTATTTAGCATAGCCACAGTGACAGTTGTTTAAAACTGCTTGGGTATTTTAGGAGATTTTCTTTTTTTTTTTTATTGGGGAATTGGGAACAGTGCTGGGGAATTGGGGTAAGGGGAACAGACAAGTTGCTGGCCTTTTGTTCTTCAGTCTAGTTGTGGAAGACGTTGCTTCACTGGCCCAAGTTGGCACCATCATTGCGCTCTTCCCGGGCGAGGCAGATCA